AACATTTAAAAAATAAGACTTTTATATGCTTTCAAGGTGAATTTATACTTTGGTAACGTAGTTGAATGGTACTCATAAATTAATTTAATATGGTGATTAGTTAATTAATTAATATGATGATTTCATAATGTTTAGTGGCTGGATAAAATAGCTGCTGCAAGAAGACCAAAAGGAGATGGAAGTGAGAATCCTGAAGAAAGTGATCCAATGTGGCTTAAAGATAAGGGAAGGTTGTATTGAGTCATTTGAATGTAATTCTTTTAAATCGCCTCATCTGATAAATCAGAATATTTATACTTGTTTATAATACATATATTCTTTCTAGTTCTCTATTCAAAGCTGGCGATTATGTTTCTGCAATAAATGCGTTCAATGAAGCAATTAGACTAGAACCAATTTTACCATCGTACGTTCAGTTATGAAATCGTCACTTAATGATATCGATTACTACACATTTGCAATGGTATTATGCTTGCGTTACTGAATAATTTTTACCTCTCATTGTTTTAGGTTATACTTAAATCGATCTGCGTGTTTTTTAAAGATTGGAGACTATCCGTATTGTATCGAAGATTGTTGCAAGGTTAGTACGTTTATCACGAGCCTATCATGAACTAGATAAGATCAATTCTTTGAGAATTAAATAGCATTTATTCGTTTTTAGGCTCTTGAAAGGCTGACTCCGCCAGTGCCTGCTAACGCCGCACAGAGGTCAAAAGCCTACGTACGGCGTGGAACAGCTTACTTTAAGCTAGAGTTATATGTCGATGGTAACTCAAAATAACTTAAGCAGTTTGAAAACTTGTAGTCACAGTTCACCTCTTTATCTATTTTCTTTATTTGTTATCATAGCTTTACAAGATTATGACCAAGCAATCAGCCTCGATCCTGACAATGAAGGCCTTAAACAGGATGCTGATATGATTAGAAAAATTATTCAGGGATCAAATCCATCAGACGAAGATACAGTCGAATGATGTTCCAACCAAATACTTGGTGCAACTATTTGTATGCAATTACATACTGTACAGTAACTGTATATTAATTATATAAAGTTTCTATAAATGCGTAGTTATTTAAATCCATAGCAGTTTGTAGTGCTTCATAATAGATATTACAAACGAAAATAAAATTTATATTACAGTAATTTGCAATTACATAATTATTGTTAGTATAATATGACATTGTGTATTATACGTGAAATAACGTCATTATGG